TCTTAATGAATGTGGTGAATTACTTGTAGGAAAACGGGCATTTGAACCAGCAAAAAATACTTTAGATTTACCAGGAGGATTTGTTGATTTTGGGGAAAATGCAGAAACTGCTGCAATAAGGGAAATTGAAGAAGAAACAGGACTTCAGTTAGAAGTAAAACAATTAAAATATCTGTTTAGTTTACCAAATGAATATATTTTCAGTGGCTTCAAAGTTTCAACTATGGATATATTTTTTAAATGTACAGTCTCCAATAGTTTAGTTAAAGGAAAAGATGATATTTCTGAGTTAAAGTGGGTTGACATTAAGTCACTTGACCCTTCATTATTTGGATTGCAAAGTATATCTCAAGCAGTTGAAATGTTTATAAAATCTTTTCAATGATGATATTTATACTCTAATTCACTTATTTTTTTACTAAGATAATTTATTTTTTAAAGTTATATTTTTATAAGTTTATCCAAAAATATTTAAATTCCCGTTTTTTTTCATTATTTTAGTCTATTTACAAAAATGAAAAAAATAACCAATCAAATTCAAAACCCTTAATGCTATAAATAGTGTAACTAAAAACTCGAGATTGTTATGTGTGCATCTGTCAATAATACTTCGTTGGAGATAACTCAACCTCAACAACCAAGAAATTTTCAGTGGAACTTATTACCTTCGAGTTACGTTTCAAGTTATTCTAAACAACAAACTTTCACTGGCTTTCCTAACGATATAATTCAATGGTCAGCAAGTGATGCAGAAAAGAAATACATTTTTGTAAATGACAAACAATATAACCGAATAATGAAGAGAAGAAATGAACGACGTGCATTACAATTTCGGAGTATTTCTTCATCAAACAAACAGAAAGTTTGTCTTTTTCTATCAGTTTGAATATTCCACCAATAGGAGTATTAAGACCCAATATACAAATTTAATGATTAATAACAAAAATATTAAAGTTAATAAATAGTTTAAATATGAGTCTAGGCATCTTCATGCAATGAACAGACAAAGGGGAGAAGGTGGAAGGTTTTGTAGTAAAAAGAAAATTGAACAGTCTCAAGTTTCTAACACTACTTCTCCTCAACAATTAATTGAAACTACTTTAATTGGTTCAGACAATCCTGCTATTTCTCCTATTGAGTCTATACAATCAGTTCAATTAAACTCAGGTATTACACAAACACCAACCATTTCATATGAAACTAATAATATTCCAGTACAGTTAAAAGATCTCAACATTCATCCTTAATCATTCAACCATGTAATTGAATCTTCTTTGTTTTATACTTCTTTTTCATATTAAAAGTAAAATAAAATAAGAACAGGGTAAAAAATTAATTTAATTCTTTTTGTTGTTTCTTTTTTAAATCATCTAACTTACTATGCAATTCTCTATTTTCTTTCATTGCTATTTTAAATTCTTTTAATAAAATATCTAAATCTTCATCAGTTAAATCTTCAGGTTTCATTTCAGTTAATTTTGGAATTATTTTCTTCTTATCAAAATGAATAGGAATTTCTGAATAATAATCAGATAGACTTAAAGGATTTTGTGCTTTTCTTTTAGCCTTAGAAAATAACATATTATAATCTTCTTTTGGAAGAAGAACTTTTTCTTGTCCTAGTGTTAATAAAAATAAAACTGCACGATCATATTTTTCTACAATGTCAATAATCCAATCCGTAGAATTCATATGAAATAATTTTATAAAACAAATGTTTGTTGGAATAAATTGAATATTTTCTTTTAGTAAAATATAAGCAAGTGTTTTTGTTACAATTTCATTATCATTCAGTTTTATTAATTGTTTCACAATATTTTCAATTACACAATATGCGTCTCTTAGAATTTTTGCTTTTTCTATAGGTGATCGTTTCATATTAACATTTCTAATTAATGCTCCACATTCTTTTAATATACTTTGTTCATATTTTTTCAAAAAACCAAGTGCAATATTTTCTACTTGAATAAATTGTCTCATTAAAATAAAATCTTCTAACTTTTTATCTTTTTCACGACATTCAATAGGAGTTTCTTCTTTTGGATTGTCCTCATAACTTGGAGGCCAAAGAGATTCGAATAATGAACAAGTAAAAATTGTTTCAATACAATTAATTATGTTTTGTTCATAAGTTTTAAAATCAGCTTTCCATAATTCATGTTTTTGTATTTTGCCTCTTGCTCCATTGATTAATTGTTTAAGAAATACTGCCTTTTCATTTAGTTTTAATGTAGAAGATATATTTGAAAATTGTTTGAATGCCGTTTCAAATGAATTTCTGATAGATAATGATTTTTGATTAGAAAGTCGTTCTAAAAATAAGTTTCCACTATGTTCTTCTGGTTCAGTTGGAGGAATAAACCATTTTGGTTCGACAGTGTTAATTTCTATTTCAGTTTTAGAGATACTATCAAATGTACGTGGTTTTATAGTTGGACATTCCATCCATAAAAATCCAGGTTGAAGACCATCACCTACCCACCCCCAAGAACAACCATCGAAAATTAATGGTGTTTCTATAAAAAGGATTGGCATTTCTCCAAAGGGAGATTGTAATGAATCATTTGAGATTACTGAAATTTCTTTTGACCTTCGTAACAAGATTTCATTACTTTCTAAGTTATCATAAAAATGTTTTGGGAATGCATAAAAAATATCTGGCATTGTCTTCCATGGATTTAATGGTTTTTGATTCGCATATAATGCAATTGTACCATCAGTAATTTTTCCATATAAACCATTTAATGTAACAAAATTATTATCATTTGGATTTTTTTTTATCATATGAGTTAAAAGAAATTCTGGTGTTAGTGTCAAAGTTCTATGTGGAATAACTAAAGTAAATTCATGCTCTAAACAAGTAACAACAGACTGTAATCCTATTTTATTACTTAGTAATTTTTTTATTTCCAATGATGAATTAACTTCTTTTGAATTAATAATTTTGTCAACAGCTACATAAGGCATACAATATTGTTTAGCAAATGATTCCATAAGTTTTTCAAATACATCTTCAAAAGGTACTTCTCCTGGAATATCTATTTCTACTGGTGGAGAGATAGATGAAGAAGGTAATTGGGTTGTTGATTTTCTCCAACTTTGTGATGAAAAGTGTAATGATGAGCGTGATAACATACTTTTTTAAGTTACTTTTAAGATTTATTTTTGTTGTTTTTTGTGTTTTTAATTAATAATATTTATTCGTTATAAATAGCAAAAATAAATTAGAAAATAGTTATTCATATTTTCAAGAAAAACAAAATATAAATTTAAAATTAAAATTAATAAGATTATTTTTTAAAAAAACACAAAAAGAAACTGAAAACAAAAATTGTTATTTTGAGTAATGGAACAAGTGAGTCCAAGTATTTCTCTTAGAAATGGTGCAAAACAATGGAAAAAAAGACATCCAAGTAATTGTGAGTCATTACCCCAATTTATTAAGATATCAGGTAACATTCCTGGTTTACTTATTAGACCAGCAGATGGAAAGTTTGTTATATGAAGTTATTGAAAGTAAAAAGATATATTTATGTTTATAGGTCTAAGTGTACAATTCTTTATAGTCATGACTCTACTGAACGACTAGAAACAATTCACCAATGGCTAGTTAATATGTCAATGATGCTTCATTCTAATATTATTGCGTATGAATTTCCTGGTTATATGGATGATAGTAGTGAATATTCTGATACTTTAGTTGCAGACATTATTACAAAAGTATTTAACTACATATTAGAAGAAATGAAACAACCTTCAAAGTCAATAGTCCTTTATGGGAAAGGAGCAGGTTGTGGACCAACGTTATTTCAAGCATTTGAAACTCGTAAAGAAAATGAAGTAGGGGGTGTTATATTAATTAATCCAGTAGTAAATGCATCAATTTTAACACGTTCTCCATTTCACAAAGCAAGTCATATCAAAGCTGTTACTTCACCTGTGGCTATTATCTTTGGCCAATTATTAACTGAAAAGAAATATATTAGAAAATTATATTCATTAATTCAAAATAAAGGAGGACTTGGAGTTATTGAAGGAGGTGGAAATGATTTAGAAAAAACTCATAGCGATGAATTGACAGATGAAATTATTAACTTTTTGATTGAATTTATTCCTGAATTACAATGCTATTTCAATGGCGATGAATTAGAAAAACAACGCCCAGTTGAATATCAAACAAATTCTATTGATGAAATTAGTCAATTTCTTAAACAAAGAAATCTTCAACACCTCACAGAACTCTTTATCTCTTATGGTTATTGTAAAGTAGAACACTTTATGTCAATGTGTCCTGATGAAATAGATTTCCTTGGACTTGAAGAAAATGATAAAACAACTTTTAAACAATTAATAGAAGATGCAAAGAATGACCCTCTCCTTCTTTATCCAAAACAATCCACTAAAACTAAACCAACTAGTATAGCCAGTGCAAGTAGAATTATTTGTACTGATGAGGCTTGGAAAGATTTAGATTATAAAAGTAAAAGAAAAAGTATGAAAGATGTTGTTATGGAGGCTATAGGCTTAAGTAAACGTTCACACCCAAGAAATAGTTCTATTTGTTATGGAGAATCAGTTAGAGGTAGTGACATATTCATTCATCAATCCAATATTAGTTCAGGTTCAACTGATTCATCTATTGGACCAACTACTCCTAATGAACAAACTTCAAAAAAGAAAGGAAGACTCTCTTTTATTTTCAAACAAAATGGAACAAAATCACAAAATGAGCATGTCGCTTTAAGTGAAGGATCTGTTTCTCCAGCAATTCTGAATGACAACATTGTTCTAAAAGAAAAGGAACAAAAAAGAAGAGATGATTATTAGAAAAAGATTAAAAGTATATATGAGTAATAAAGTTTTATGAAAAGAGTTAAAACGAAGAATAATGAATTTCAATTGTACTAGTTCTTTTTTATTTTTTTTTACTATTTTGATAATATATATTGTTTTTATTATAAAATATAATAAGAAAACTAATCTTAAAAAAATATTTCTTCATGCAAAGCAATAATCCATATGATGAAAATGATTTATTACTTGTTCAAGTAGATAATGATAAAACTCAACGAATTAAAGATGTTAACACAAAAATGAAAGAAATTAATACTGGAATTTCTATGATGAATAGTATAACAAAAACACAACAAACAGTCATTGATCAACTTGAATATAATTATCAAAATGCTGAAGAATATACAGCGAAATCAGCTATGGAAATTGACAAAGCAGGGAAATATCAATTTTCTGGAGATAAAAAGAGACTAATAATATTATTAATATTAGTTATTGTTGTTACATTCCTTATATTCATTATTTGGTATAAATTACATTAAATCTTACTCATTCATTTTTTTTTTAAATTTTGTTTCTTTTCTTTAAGACTTGTTACAATCTTTTTGTTGAGATACAAGTAGATTGAATCTTATTTTTTTGGAAAGTTCAAATAAAAGATAAGAATGAAACCCAAATAAAGGTAATAGTAAACAATAATACAATTTCAGCACACTTTTTTAATAAACTTCCTACTTATGAGAGTAAAGTCTCTTACTATTATTATCAAGTTAAGACTATAATTTAAACGCATCAATAATAACTATTTTTCTTGTTTAAAGTGGTTGTATTGTTTAATAACTGAAACATTATTTTGTTTGAAAACTACGTCATCTTTCAAAACAGTAGTTCGTGAAGTGTGGATAGTTAAATAAGGTTGTCTTGGTAGAAGTTCATTTTCAATAACAGTTCTACTAGGGCGGTTAAGGTACATTTGTAATTTTTTTGAGTCTTGTTCTTTAAAAAGTGATCCATGATGAATTGTTGTATTAGGTGGTGAAGTAATTCTAAGTGTTGTTAAGGCAATGACTGGTGTTATTGGTGGTTGGCTATTAGACATTGTTTCTGAGGAAGTGTTCATATTCTTAGAAAAGGAGGTTTGTGTTTATTTCCTTTTTCTTTTGTACGACACAAAATTTAGTATTTTTTAGTATTTTTATAGTATTTTTACTTCGTTATATATTCAGTTGGGGTTATTATTTTTTGAGTTGTAGTTTCTTTCATTAAATTATTTTCAGACAACTTTGTTGGTTAACAGATGTTGTCTGTCTCATTGTTTAAACTGAAGGTTTTGGTGTCTTTTAAAAAGTCATCTTATTGTAAAAAATAAAACACATCTATTTTTAGAACAACCAAAAAATCCAAGAGTTACTCAAAAAGAATGATGATGCATTATACCTTCGAGAAGTTAAAAAAATAAGAATTAATTTAAAATAAAAAGAAGGAACAAAATAGTAAATTAATAGTAAAATAATATAATAAAAAGATAAATAAAAAGGAACTAATAAAAAAACAATAAAAGAAGTATGACAGAAAGGATATGTTTACACTCACGATTTACACTTTTATCTAAATTAGGAAAAGGAACATATGGAGTTGTTTTTAAAGCAATGGATAATGTTACACAACAATGCATTGTAATAAAAAAGTATAATAATGAAAATATGGATGGGATTGGAATTACTTCATCGGCATTAAGAGAGATATGTTTATTAAGACAATTAAATCATAGAAATATTGTAAAGTTTGTTTTAATTAAAATATAAGATGAAATAAAAAAGAATTAAAAAAGAAGAATATTAGGAGTTTGTTCAGGAAAGAATGAACTTGAATTATTTATGGAATATTGTGATTGTAATTTAAGACAAATAATAGGAGGATATCTTGGTAATGACATAATAAGAACAAAATATATATTTAAACAAATAATGGAAGGACTTTTATATATTCATGAAAATAATATTGTTCATAGAGACTTAAAACCAGAAAATATTTTATTAAAAAATGGTATTGTAAAAATATGTGATTTTGGAATGGCTAAATATTCATTTAAAAGTTATACACATGATGGTATGCTTGAACAATATGCACCACCAGAAATTTTACAAGTTATGCGTTCAAATGATCAAAACAAAGAAGCTATTTATGTTCCTTCTGATAAAATAGATCCATGGTCTTGTGGTATTATTTTAATTGAAATGACTCAAAAAAGTAGTAATATTCAAATTGACTGTGAAACACTATATCGAGAATCAGAACAAATCAAACCAAATTATTTGGACCACCCAATAAGTAAATTTTTCAGTGAACAATTTTCACATATAAAAGACAAAGACCTTCTTGTTCTTATTAGTGGATTATTACGTTATGATACTACATTACGTTGGACTTGTAAAGATGCAATAAACTGTAATTGGCTTGAAGGCATAGATACTTCAAAACCTTATAATATATAAAACAATGTTAACTTTTTAAAACAACAACTAAGTGACTGAGTATAATCCTCTTTAAATTGGTTAATTTTTATTGATGGAAATGGAGAAGACAAGTGTTACAAGAAATAGCATAGATAATATAAAAACAAATAATCAAAGAAGAAGAAATTCACATCAATCAATGAATATAAATGATAGAAGAGTCTGTGAAAATAGATATCATCTGTATGGACAGAGACACATTAACCACCACATTAAACAGTAATATAATAATTACATTATTAATTATATGAATTATTTCACTCATCACTTCAATCATAATCATCTTCATAAATACTTTAACAATAATTTCAATAGAAATAAACATCATAATAGAAACAAATATCATAATAAAATACAAAGAAAAATACAAACAATATCAAAATAAATAAGAAAACCAGATCATAAACACAGGAATAGGAGAAATGATAGAAGCAATAAAAGAAAATCCAAATTGAATAATTAAAAGAATGAAGAAAGCATTTGGTAAGAAGATTAATTTTAATGAAATAATGAATATAATAGAATCAAATGAAAGAAAGCACAATGTAAAGGAAGTATTTGAATGGGTAAATAATGAATTAAATGATAGATATTTAAATAAATGGAAAGAAAAGAAATGTGGTGAATATATAAGATGTGCAAATGGCACTTTTAATGATAAGAAATTAACAATAACAACATGGAAGTCATTAAATATAAAAAGAAATGCATTCATCAAAATAATAAAAACGCAAGAAGGAGTAACTATGACAGGAAATATTAAATCTAAAATACTCCAAAATGATGCTTTAAAATATTGTAAACATTATCATAACACAATTGCATCTATTAGTCATATACTGTTATGATGTCCTGTAATGAAAAAGAATCAAATATTAAAACATGATTATGTATGTAAACAAATATTTAAACACTTATTAATTACATATTTTAATGAATTTGATTCAATTGATTTTAATAATACTCCAAAATGTATTAATAATGATAAAATGATTATAACTTACAATAAAGATTTATTGGTTAATGACAATTCATTTCTATGCTAGAAGACAAAATATATATTATTAAAATATGAAAGAAAGGATATATTATAGATGTTGCTATATGTCAAGGTATGAATATAGAATTAAATTATATTCATAAAATAAATAAATACAAAGAATTACAAGAGAAATTAAGAAATAATAGAGAAATAATATATGTAGAAATAATACCTGTAATATTATCAATAAATTGATTAATACACAAAGAGTCTGTAAGAAGATTAAAAACATTGAAATTAAAATTAGACTTTTCCAATTTACATTACAAAGAATAATAATAAAAAAATATGAAAGAATTAATGTTTTAATTAAACAATTCTGACAAAATAATAGAAAAAGAACAATCTAAATTTCACATAATACCAAATAAATATAAAAATGAAGGAAACAATAATGAAGAAACTGAAATAAACACTTCTCAATATTCATAAAATCCAATTATGGATATATCTATTAATTGTCTTTTTATTATAGTTATTGAAATATTTTAATAGTTTTATATTAATTTATTACTCTAAATGACTTTTAGAAAATTGAACGATTATTTCAATTTAATGGAACATAAGGATTTTCACAGAAGAGATTCTGCTTCTATTTTATCTACAATAGTTGAGTTAGATAGGTTTATTCAATACAGAAAAATTGTTATTACGTTAGCTGAAAGTTGGAGTGGAATAATGAAAGGATATATTGAACAAACAGAGAATGGATTTTCTGAATATTTAGTTTTAATTCCACCAGGAATTATTAGTGGAACTAAAATAAATTCAAGTAATATATTAACTGGATGTAAAGAAGAAATTGAAATTGAAGTTTTTGAAGATGAGACAGAATGGAGAAATGGGGATGACATTAAAACTTATGAATTTGGAAAAAAAATGATGTTATTCATGTCTCTGGGAAAAGATATTTTGTTCCAGAAGTAATAAAGAGTGAAATGGATCAAACGTATGAAGTTACAAATGAACATAAGAATATGGGTTTTGGAGATAAAGGAAAATGGATTTTAGTAACCGAGAAAAACAATAAAATTAATCTAAATAAGTTAGATCGTTTAATTAATAGTATTAATATTATAAATAAAAACTTAACTCTTTGCTTATATGAATGTTTGCAAAAAAATGAAAAAACTAGGCTATTAGAAAATAAAATTAAGACTGTCATTAGAAAGGCTGTACAGGTACTAATGACACAAATAAATCCTCTGATGATTGTAGTAATGTTGATAAAAGTGCTGTATATGGGGTCTGTTCAGATGGTAAATTAAAAGAGGTTAATGAAGAAAATGAATTAATTAAAGAAGATGAAGTAAAGAAGATTTAAAACAACAAGAAAAAACAAATAGCTTCCAAAATTTAGACACTAATTCAAATAATCCTAAAACAAATTCAGAATTGGATGCTCATCATTCCGTATGTATAGAAATAGGAAGACACTCTCCTTCAAAAAAGTCAAAAGGTTGTTGCAGAACCTTGTAGAGTCTATTACTCTGAAACTAATTAAGGTTTAAAAACGAAACAAGTTTTTATTTTGATAGTAACAAGAATAGTGGTAGAAGTATTTTATAATAAATCAATTAATTTAATTATTAACAGAATTTGTTTCTATTGTTTTTACACCAGTGGAGACTAGTCTTGTCTAATTCCTATTGTCAATTATCAATACTGAGTATGTGAATATCTGAAAAGATTTGAAGAAAGTGAAGATAAAAAGAAAGAATTTGAGAAAGAAGTAGCAATGTTAGATAAATTTCGAGATGAATATATCATTCATTTTTATGGAGCAGTATTTATTCCTAGTAAAATATGTATGGTAACGGAATTTGAAGAATATGGATCAATACAAGATATAATGAATAAAAGAAAAATCACAGAAATATCAAAGAAAATACGAATCAAATCTATGATAGATGGAGCAAAATGAATTTCATATCTTCATTCGAATGGAATATTACATCGAGATATTAAACCAGATAATTTCCATGTTGTAACACTTGATGATAATATTGAAGTTAATTGTAAATTAATGGATTTTGAAAGTGCAAGAAATATTAATATGATGATGACAAATATGACATTCACAAAAGGAATATAAACAACAAAAATACATGGCACCAGAAATATTAAATCGTCAACATTATAAAATGCCATCAGACATATATTCATTTTCAATAACAATGTTACAAATCATTATATGGCAAGATCCATTTCCTAAAACATTATATCCATATCCATTGGATATTGCAGATACAATCACAACAGGTAAACGACCAAACATAATACAAGAAGTAGAAGAAGATATTAAAGAAATTATTGAAAAGTCATGGCAACAAGAACCAAAAGAAAGAATAACGATAGATGAAATTGTAAGAATGTTAGATGGAATTGAAAGTAAAGAATAAATTAAAATACTCTTTATTTTGTTGCTTTAATGTTTTAATTTAAGAAATCAAATAATCAAAACTTAAATGTTTTTAAAGAATCATGTAGTTTAAAATAATATCTCTTTCATTTCTTCTTTATTCTTCATATCATTGTATTAATCTTTCTTCATGGATTGATTTTTCTTCTTCTGAATATTCATTTCTTATAATTTACTACTTTATTTCTTATCTAATTTATTCTATTTGTCTTATTATTCTTTCTCTTTATCTCACATTTAAATCATTAGATTTCTTCATATCTTTCTATTTCAATACATTCTTGTTATTCTTTCATGTTTCTTATTCATATCATCACTTTTCTCATTATTCAATTATTTATTAAAATAATTTGTTGTAATGATTATGAAAATGTTATTTCTTCTTATTGTATTGTTTCTTCTTGTATTGTAGTATTTATTTTTTGTACTATTCTCACTTCTTTTATCATTATTATTCATTATTTCTTTTTCTATTTCTTTCTTATGTCTTGTTAAACATCCATCTTTTCTATTCTTTTCGTTTTTTGATTAGTTGTTTTATTGAAACACTTTCATCTCTTGTTCCTAAAACATCTTCCTCAATCTCATTTCTATTATGCTTTTTCTTCATTCTTTTCTCTTTATTTTCATTGTTTGAACAAGTTGCCAAAATTATTTGATGAGTGTTAATCTAAAAGAACATGGTGAATACGAGTTGTTTCTTTGATTAATCAAACAATATCAGACTCATAACAGACAAGCATAATTATTAATTACTCAAATCATATTTATGTATAAGCTGAACAAAGAAAGTCAAATTTACAAATTAATAACTTCAATGCTAAACACACAATAATGTAAGAAACTCAATCAAAGAACAACATATTCATTATTTTTAATTATGATGATTAATACAAATATAAAGAAGAAAGATGGTAAAGAAATGAAAAGACAAAATAAGTTTTTTCTTCTTCTTTTTGTTTTCATTTTTCATTTCTACATTTATATTATAACCTTTCAAAAATACTTTAATTAGAAGAGATTTACTCTACCATTTCTGTTCTTCTTGTTCATTTCGTTAATTTGTCTTGAGTTATACAATTTCATCTTCATTTTTTTGGTTCACTTGACATTCTCAGATGTTAAAGATTGTTTTTCTCATCTTGTTGTATTTAAAAATCATTTAATTCTATGAACCAAATAAATAAACAATAGAAGTAATTAAAAACATCGTCAACAGGTTATATTGTAGTGATATTTAATATAATAATGTATTGAATATCAAAACATCAATTGATATTTGATTAGCCAATACACAACATACTAATGTGTTTCATGAAGAAAACTGAGAATGAAATTGGATGAAATTACTAAGAAAGAAATTAACAATATCATCAACACCAATGCCAAATTCAAATGAAAGAAGAATATTTAATATGAAATAATGGAGTGAAATAAAGTGTTTAAAGAGATAAAAATGAACAAACAATAAAAGAAAATAAATACACATTTACTTCATTTATTTTTATTCATAAATATACTCTATGTATCTGATTTTTAATTAAATATTTTTTAAA